AATACCAAATTTTTAGATTGTCTTGATCTATTCATAATTTTAATATAATTAAAAAATAAATAATATTTTTAAAAAATTTCTTAGTATATATGGTGTATATTGTTTATGAATATTAATTTGCAAATCTGTATAATGTGTAAATCAAAACAATTTGTATAGAACAAAAATTTAAATACTGTCTAAGGTTAGGGTAAAGGTGAGTTTGAGATAGATGGAAGATAGCTTATACTAAAATTTCACAAGAAATATTTTTAATTAATATTCAGAAGGCAGTTTCATAAGCAAAATTTTAAGTTATAACTGACTTTTTAAAGAATACATTAATTTTATATTACATCTGTTTATGTGATCTGATTGGCTCTCTATATGTCTATGTTTAGACACAGCATGTACAAATAGAAAATTTTTAGTTTTAATAGCTTAAATAAATTTATTTTAAAGTAATACATATCTAAAATAATTAGTTTTTTATATATTTTATATAATAAAACATTCTAAAAGATAATAGAAAGTGTGTTGTTAACTTGCCTTCTGATGATATTAACTACTCTATGATTTACCAATCAAGCTGCAGGATTTTGTATAATAAAATAAAGAAATTTTTTAAAAAAAATTAAAAATTATCAATATTATAAAATTTTATTATAAAAAACTAACTTTGGGCTATTTAGCACCTATTTTAGCATATAAATGACTTATACTCTAACATAATATAGCCTATGCCCTAACCCTAATCTTTAATAATAATTTGTTCATAAAAAGTTTTATAAAAATAAAGGGCAGTTAAAATTTATAATTTTAACTAAGGATTAAAATTAGTAAATTCTAATAAAAAATTGTAAATTTAAATTATTTATACCTTTTCATCTACTAAATTAATTTTATTAATTTTATTATCGTTAGAATTAGACACAATAGCTCTACAACTTTTATTAATGTTTAAGAATTTTATAAAATAAAATTTTTGTTATTTACAATTTAATATTTTTTTGCACTTTAGTAGCAAAAAATTTTTTAAATATATTAATATAACTTTTGATAAGTTAGTTAAGTTTCAAAATATTTAAAATAAAAAATAAATAAAGGATTATATATTAGATAAATTTAATTTAAAGTTAATAATAACATTTTTTAAATTTAACTTTTAAAACTGTACTAAATTTAGTACAGCAAACGGATATCCATTAATAAGTAAAAAGAACAAGCTTAAAATATATTTTGAGAAAATTTAAAAATAATATCAAAACTCATTTTGGCGGTTAAATTTGCCCGCTAGACGGTTTAAGGGATAAGAATTATTGTAATTATTATTATTTTTAGTGTTATTAAAATGGTAATGAGAGCCTTTTACCCAAAGTAATGCGCCTATATACGCTGGGTAAGTTTTTATAGGCTTCTTATTTATACGAAATACAAAGTTATACCATTCAGGAATAAATTCAGCGTAGAATGCCCAAGGTCCGTATAAGTAAGCAGTGGTTGTATTATCGTATGTACCATCTACTCTTGTTGCAACTGTATGATTATCAATATTTATTATATACATCATTGTGTTAGCAAGCTTAACCATAGTATCCATGCTAATATTTAATCTATCTTTTCGTTGCCATGCCCGATACATGCCCCAAATATCATAAAGCGCGTGAATACCAACAACTTCTGTGGAGCTAACATCAACGTGTAAAGACCAACGATATGCGTCCAGGCCATTCTTAGTCTTAACTGGAATAAATTTACTGACCATCCAATCAATAGAAACTTGTATAATATTAAAATATTTATTGACACGAGAGTCATCATCTCCAAGAATTTCATGGCATTCTGCCATTCTTAGAAATCCATTTGCCATCATTTGCTGTCGGTTCCAAGGCATTGGCGAATTTGCAGACAATTCACCAAGAGCATCCCATGCGGAAGAGTTTGGATTATAGATTTTCAAATCATTTTCGCGAATGAAATACTTTAAATAATAGGTATCTATAGTCTTGTCTAAGGATGGCACCGAAAGTGGGTACTTTCGGTACCTACCGAAATCGAAAGTCTACCGAAAGTACTTTCGAACAGGATCTGGTTTACCG